GTATTTATTGTATACTCGACACATCCCTGTCACTTAAAGCATATGCACTACTAATTCTTGTGGGAGGAGCTACGTTACAGAACAGTCTATATGTTGCTAAGACAAGCATCACTGTACCATGTGTTTCTAGGGGATCTGTACAAGCTGTTGTGGAACACTGGTTGAAGAGCCGGTGAAAACAGCTAAAGTCGAAGATATAGCACAAACTGAACTTTGAAGTAATCCTGAGCAATCAAATTGATATATGTTTCACATGTAGGGGTAATCTTGTTACACTTTTCAGGAGAGTCTCAACAATTTCCCAAAGTACAGTTTCCAGAGAGTTTTGGGCTTTTTGTTTTCGCCATTGTATATCCCTCAGTCGTATACAGCATGGATACACCTCAAATTGGCGCCAAATTCCATGTAGTACATTAATTTAAGAGTGATATTTATAATATTTAATAATTCATTATATTTTCAGGTGCAAAGGAATTATTGATTCTCAAGGTCAAAGACTAAATTGCAGGTATTTCATGATTTATAATTTTGTTCTTCAAGATAAATGTGTCATTGCTGTAAACCCTTGTTGATTCTCTGTTATGCGTTCTACAGCTTGTAGTAGACTAGCGAGTACACTTGCCATGATACTGTGTCTGAAGAAGATGGTGGTATGATACATGTATAAACAAAACAAAATCTGTACTTTTGATTATATTTTCAGATGGGTTATAATGGAAGGTAGTTACGTACCACATCAACATCGGAACACTGCAGTTAATCAGTAAGTCAACATGCCTGCATGGCAACCATTTTAATGTGTTAGCATGGTAACCACAAAGTTTACATGAATATCACACTCTTCTGCATTCTCTATGAACATACTAGTAATTGTATTGAAAAAAAGACTTTAATTGGCAGTACTCGCCGTGCGATTCAAGTTTCAACCTTTACACCACAAGTTCCCTCTTTTCATCACAAAATAGTCCTGTTTATAGTCTGCACTATCCTTCAAAAAATTGAGACAAAAATAGCCAAATTTTGAGTATAAACTGAAAAATGACTCAAATTTTGTCTGTTGGCTCCAAAATTGTGGTTGAAGAATATAAGAAAAAGTGCAGACAAATTTGGGCGAGAAAGTCTTGTGGTAAAAAGGTTGAAAGTACATTTAGTTGTCTTTGTGCAGCGTACGCTCACATTTGATGTTGAATGCTATGTTTTACACATATTGTATACGTCACATGGGATGAATAACGAACACACAGACGATCACTGCCCTTTATAAGTAAATGTTAAATGCGAGTTTGAAGCATTTCCTGCATAAAAACAAAGATGTTTGGCTTACAAGTGAAGCTATTTGATACACTTCTGATAAAGCACATATATTATTATTATTATGGTTTTATTTCAGACATAGTCCATATATAAAGAAAAAGATAGGACGACCTGTCTGTACATTTAATTTAATGCATGTATTTGTGATCGTGGAATGTTACACCACATTACATTTGCAGGCATTGAAGTATACAATTTATAAATTCTCTGTATTGTGTTTGTAGGTTTGTATCAAGAGGTGTGTTCTTTACTGACAGATCATTAAAGCACTGCCAAGATGACCAGGTAACAAATCTTAAATATGCGTTGTTTGCAGAGAGCAATGTTTCTCTAAAAAAATAACAATTTAAGGTTTCCATTGTCGAATTAATCTGATCTGGCAATGTGTTTTTAAAAATCAGATGTCTCAAGTGTTGATGTTAGAAATTTTTATTTTGCAGGTAATGTTGCTGACCATTCCACCCATAGAAGGCAAGAACCCTGTACGTGTAATTGAACTCAATCACTGTGCCTATGCCTGTCCCAAGGGAATGTGTAAGTAACATCAAGCAGTATGTCCTTGCAGTTATAGGGACTGTACTCTGTGTTTGTTCATTTAAATTTACCATGTAATACAACAGAAAGGGATTATGTTGGGTCACGGCCGTATTGACGAAGGTTGCCGCCAGAACAAAAACAGTTGCACTGCCTGTCTGACAAATTATCACCGCTGAACAATAATGAATAGGATTAGGAACAATGCCGTTTTGGACCAGCTGGTTGAAACAATGAAGTCAGTCACAGTCTTGTTGAATTGGGGGTGTGGTTAGTAATAGGTACTTTTCAAGTTTTCAATATTTTTTAAGAACTCTTAAACCCGAATACGGAATTGGGGGTGCGGTTACGTATGAGGTTTATACCGTATTACCCCGGGCACGCGCCCAGGGGCCTGAACGTACAAAATCGGGAAAAATTGGGGGTGGGCGCTTACCCGAGGACCACCCCAAAAAGATTTTAAAAAGTTGTTTTTGTGATCGTATGATAAGGTCAAATAAAGGAATGCTTTCGTACACTTTGTACACGTACTTATTTCTTGATTTATGCGAGGTTTCAATAAACGTGAGCACTCGGTCAAGTACTGTGGGAACACTAAGACACAGGGTCGAATTTCAAGAATAAAACTTGTTTTATATCAGCGAATGAAGTTGTATTACTCACTGAAATTGACTACAAACTATGGTAAATATTGTAATCAATGCACGGTTACATTTTTAGTAACCGTGATCAGTGCAAGTCGAAACGGCCGGGTAAAACTACCGCTTGTATCCAAGAAGCGATGACCTCATTAGCATAATT